GAATGGATTATCTTGGAACTTGCTATACTTATTCCTTATACCCTAATACCGGCAACTATTGATTCTTGTGCAGCCCCCCTCCCCCCATGCACACGAACCGGTGCCACACCCATTTTTTTGTTAATATTCGGTGAGTAAATACTCTACAGGTTCCAATAATTTACAGATTTTGTTCAAATATAGCATATCAATCTTTTCAATAACAGGGTGGTTGGTGCCTATTTATATTTTTCCATATCCAACCGCCAGGGTCAGAGCCACGCCCAACTTTTGTATTTATCGTGTACGTGCTGCAATTCTGAATAGATCATCTTGGAACTTTGTACATGTATATTTATTCCTTATACCGTAAAGACAGCAACTATTTATTTTGGTGCATGCCCCGACCACCTGGGGGCGAAGTCACACCAACTGTTTTTGTTAATATTAGTCTGTAAACTTGGCAAAAAAAACCCAACGCCTAGCCTTCTTTCCTTCTTGTCGTGTTACAGTCATTGCAGCTATTTTATATTTCATTCTCTTCATTTTCAAAAAGTACAATATCAATCAAAGCAGGGATGTGGACGTATATTGCAGCGTTAGCGATGCTCTTGTTTTCTTTGTGATTCAAACCTTTATAATTTACTATAAATAGCAAAAATGTATTTATCTTTTTTATTATTTTATTTTATTTATTTTTTTTTGTAAATAATTTATTACCGGAGATGCATTTTGTAAGCTCCGGCTTGTTTTCAGATCCCTGATTTATATGTGATATCTTTACTGAATAAATTGTGTTCGAAAAATACTACTAGAATATCCTAGAAGCACGCCAACCGAGAGCTGGCGGTGGAATTTCTCTTCCTGTTCTATGGGCTTAAATTGAGTTAACACCGGTACACAAATGAGGGTTAATTGCACATAATATGGAAAATTGGCGATCCATCACATTTAATAGGTCTCCTGCAATAGAATTGACATATTTTTATGGAGGAAGAAGATGAAGTCGAAGAAGAAAAGAAGAATTATATTATTTATGTGTCACATATATTTATTTATATAACCCAAAAGTGTGTGTGTTTGTGTGTGTGAGAGAGAGAGAGAGAGAGAGAGAGAGAGAGAGAGGGGGTAACGTCTACTCGACACAAACTAGGTCATTTCGGGACTGCCATATTCATGGTTCAATTTTATTTCAATTTAGCACTGGGAGGAAACCCAAGGACCTGGAGATAACCCACTAGGTTGTACTTCTTGTCACGTGCATGCGGGGAAATCGAAACCCCGCCACTTGACTCAATGACAGACCTTCTGATTCAGCGCGCGTTAAACTACTAGACCCCCCCCCCCCCCCCCGCCAAAAAAAAAATAAATAAATAAATAAAAAGGCAGGATATTAGTCTATTGTGTCACATAGCTTATTATTGGGCATGTCTACTAATCCCAACAATCTTGCCTTTAATCTACTACTTTTAAACTGTGGTGTCAAATGACCGCATACTAACAAAATTGACACGTTAGCTTATGTGGAATCATAGCTACAAAGATCACATGAGCCTTAGTTTAACCGACCTCGCTGTCGTTTCTTATAAGGAGTTACAATATATAAAGCCTTGACATACTCTCTATATAATCCTGTCTCCCCGATCCCTGATTGTATGCGGGACTAATAAATATACCGGTAAAGGCTAAGCACTCTTTGTGTGACTACATAATCCCGTCTCCCTAATACCTGATTGACGAATAAACCCGTTTATGTAATTGGCTTTAAGTGGTTGTAAAAACAACACCCATTATTTTATTTTCTTTGATGGCTGACGCAATAAAGGACTAAGCTAATCAACCCTGACATATTGAAAGAAATTACGTTTAGCTACATCTCAGTGTTTGCATTCCGACTTACCTGTCAACGTAACCGCAACGACCGACGAAACATTAGCGATTCGTCATGTGATTTGTCAATGATATTCGGGTTTATCGCCAGTCAGAAAGCTTGTCTGCGATATTACAAGTGTGGACGCCGACGCTAAACCACCAGCAACTACTACTACTTCTACTCTCAGAAAGACTTTTCGAAAGAAAAAAAACCCGTTTAGTATTAAAAACCAGTAGTAAAGGACTAAAACTCTTTGTCTGCGATATCACGACTTTGGAAGTAGACGTTAATCACCGACAAGTAATTACCTAATAACCAAGGAGGTGAGTAATTTAAATGTTGAAAAACGTCTAGTCGTTCGGATGGGACGGAAAACCAAGGTCCCATGTTCGTAAAAGAACTCTTGATAGTTGGAATCTGTAGGCCCATTTCATTTCATTTAACTCAATTTAAAGATGTATTATGTATGAACTACATCTGACTACTTCAAGTCATACATTTGGCCTCAAATGTTATATTAATTATGAAAAGGACAGCTGTCTAGTCCTTCGGATGACACGAAAAACCGAGGTCCCGTGTAAACATTGGAATGCACGTAAAAGATCCCTTGGCAGTTGGAATTCGATATAAGAGTAGGCGATAGTGCCGCTGCCCGGGCAAAATTTCCCTCATAGCACACTGTATGGCGTATGCCCGTCTTCATTAGCCCAGCATAGGAGCAGAACAGTAGGACGTTAAACCCCATTTCATTTCATTTCATTTAATTATTAATTAGACATTTTTTCAAATGACAAGCCCATAATCTACTCTCCAGAACATCGGGTGGTTGAGAATTTTAATGGATTGAAACACGATCGCTATAATATAATAACTTAATTTAAGAATAGATAATCGACACTGTGTTTATTATCGCAACAATTGTAGCAATGGAAATCGAGATTAAGCTATTTATATCTACATGTAATTTCAAACACAAACTTCAAAGTAATTTGACTAAAATTATCAATATATTCATTTTCCATTAACTATTTTTCAACTATTATTGCCAGCTCTCAATCTTATTTAAAGGGTGTATGACTCTATTTTTGGAACATTGAAATAGACAAAAATGGTACTAAAACACATATGTAATGTGATTTATATTCAAGTTTTGAAAACTATATTGTAATTTCTAATAACTTATGTTAGGTGAAATACGTGAACAGTACAGTTAAAAACGAACGGCAATCGTTTTCGCCTGCTTGGTGCATTCTACACTTTTTTTAAATTATTATTTTGTCGTTTGCAAATCAGTCTTTACTAATTACTTCCACATTGTGTTGTAGGGTATATTTTTATTTGTTCATTACAAAATAGCACCCGAAACCACAGGATACACGACTCGTACTGATTATAAAATGTTAATGGTGTCTTAAGTAACTAAGTCTCTAAGTGAATATCATCCAAAGTTTTCGACATTGAAAACACGAAATGTTTGTCAATTTAAATCAACATTGATGTTGTGATTTTACCAAGAAAAGATGGGCTTCCGATATCAAATATTTAAGACCAAATATAAATTTTACCATTGGTACACCAATCGTGTACCATAATGCGTTTCAGCGTCATTTGTAACACGGGACTCGAAGAACGAGGCTAGACATATTCCACAAGTCATGTCAAACGGTGACGACATTCGTGTTTTTAATTTCGAATATTATGAAATATATTGAGTTAGAGACTTAGCTCCTTTATTAACTATACACTCGATCAACGGGCTCCCAACAGATCATAGAGTGATTGGCTGATCAAATCTTGAAGTTTCTTGAACCGTGAAGCAATAAGACAAACTCATCCAAAACAGGTCAAATCCTATTATTAAGTGACGGCATATTGATAAATAGATTAAATACAAGAAAGCATCCAAAATAATGTTTAGAGAGTATTCTTTGAATGGCATTTGGTAATTGGACGAATATGAAATGTAGACGGTCATATTTGATAAAGTGTGCTATTAGGGAAATTTTGCCTAAACAGGCTACTCATATATCAAACCCCAACTGTACATCAATGTGTACACGAAGCCTCCGTTTTTCATACCATCCGAACGACTATACGCTATCCCTCTCGGTCAACGCAGGGTTCGAACACGGGACCTTCAGGTTAGCGAATCAACGCCCTACATACAGAGACACCGGGGTTCCTCGGTAATTCTAGCATAATCAAATAAAACAATAATTATGGATAGCAATTACTATGGTTTATTACACTGGGGCGTTTTATTTCATTTATTTATGTTGATATATGCTAGATAACGACTTGCGAAATCTTGTTGAAAGGTCGCAGTGTAATTAACCATAGTATATTTGATAATTTTTAGAGGGAGAGAAACGCCCACGTTGGCATTAAGCAGGTCATTTTAAAAAAAATCGCTTGTGCACATAGGAAGTTGCAGATTAAACCACAAGGGTAGACATGTGACATTACTTCTTTTCGAGATGGAACCAATGAATTGCATAGCCAATCGGAACAGAGCAGTAGGGCGTTAAACCCCATCTCGTTGCATAGATAACCTTACTCATGTCAGGCTTTTTACCTCTATTCTAATCTCTGGTTGTTATGTTGACCTGCTCGCGCTTCAATAACGATTACACCGTTCTTATAAACACGTAATAAAATGTGACCTTTGTTTTCTTTGTTCATTACAGATAACTTCTTATTGCCGGTTGTTAATGATATCATCAAATGACCACTCGCTGTTTTAACAAGACTGAACACAACAAGGGGATCGTGGGGTGTGAAATTCATTCCAGTGGCCAAACTCTATTCACGTAAGAATAGAGAAGACTGCCCACCTTTATAGTGGTTTGGAGTTACGCTAGTGTGTCATTTTATAACTTTTTGAGAAATGGGGAATAAAGTCAGCTCCGATAATGCTGTCCGACTTGCACAGAAAAGTAACAACCGGGATGTCAGAATAAAATTTGTGGAGGAGAGAATAAACACACGCCAAGAAGAAGAAACCCAGGAAACTGACGTTATCGATGGAGTTCCAGCAGTAGATTTGTTTAATTTAAAGACGAAGCCGCCGATTCTGGACAGAACAGCATCATGCCTTAACGTGGTTGACCATATAGCTATTTCGTCATTACCACATAATTACAAATACGACTTCGAGAATCTTGTTCTGGAAGGTGGAGGAAATAAAGGACTGGCCTACTGCGGAGCTATAAAATATCTACAGGAAGTGGGGATAATGCAAAACATTAAGCGAATAGCTGGAACGAGTGCAGGATCCATGACAGCAGCTCTGTTCACGGTCGGATACACCGCTGATGAAATACAAGATTTCCTGGGAGGACAGATTGCTGATGTATTTTTGGACCACAGATGTGGGTATTGTAGTCTCCTGCCAAATTTACTTTCCGGATATGGATGGAATCCCGGGAAAAAGATATTCAATTGGTTTGGGGACAAGATGGAGAAGAAGACGGGAAATCCTGACATTACTTTTAAAGAGGTCTACAAACTTACTGGAATAGAATTATGCATTGTTGTGACCAACCTTAGTCAGATGTCAACTGAATACTGTCACCTGAAAACCACACCAGATATGTCGATAAGATTAGCCGTCAGGATGTCTATGGCCATTCCAGGCATCTACAAAGCTATGAAATACAAACGAAATGGACAAACAAGCGTGTACGTCGACGGTGGTGTTTTATGTAACTATCCGATCCACTGTTTTGACGGTTGGTACTTATCCATGGCACGCGAAGATGGTTTTATTCAAAAACTCCAACCACTTAGCGAAATACCAAGGCTTTATGACAAAAGTGAGCGATTTGGAAAGTATAACCCTAAAACCCTGGGATTTTTGTTATTTGCCGACAATGAACAAGATGTATACCGACACACATTGGAACGTCGGGTCGGCGTTCGACTTCCAGAAAAACCCGCCAAGGACACAAAGTTATACGTGCGACACACCAAGGAAAAACTTAAGCAAAATAGAGCGATTAAAGAACATGGGCGTGTTATTAATGCCGTGAACACGTTCTTAAGTATTCTGAAAAAACATAACCTAGATCAAGATGACGTCATAGATAGAAGCGAATTAGAGGCTGCGTTCAAGGATATGGAGTTTACGAACGAGGAAAAAGTCTTGTTATTCGGGGAAAATGTCGACTTTAGTGCGGCGTTTAATATGATAGACAATGATAAAAATGGAAAGATCCAATTTGATGAATTAATTGAATTTATTGAGGGAACGGGTGTATGTTTCCAAACGCGGTTCCTGGGCTTTCGGGGAAAGGAGGTGAACAGTCTTGGTTCTTTTCTCAATTCGCTGCAATCAACATTGTTAACGAACGTTAAGAAGATCTACGTTGATGAGCGTGATATGGCGAGAACGGTGGGGATAAATACGGGGCATATGGGTACAACAGATTTTGAGTTAGAAGAGGAGGATATGGAATTCGTTGTTGAAAGAGGTTATAATGCTACCAAAGCCTATCTGCAGTATTATATAGCTATGAACAGTCTGAAACAGAAAACAAAACCAAACAGTGAAATTTGTGAACAATGAATTTTATAGAATTTCTGGATACGACGCATTCTTAACAACATTATATGCTTCCAGACAAAGCAGTGAACTGGGTCACATACTTACTAAAAAACTTACAGGAACAAAAATGTAAATAGCCTATAAAAGTATTGGTACTTCGAACAAAATCAGTGATCATCGAATAGCCCATTTAATTGAATTTCAGGATACTGAGCCGTCTTTACAGCATTCTAGGCTGATGGACAAAGCAGTGTACTGGGACCTATACCTACTCAAAAACTTACAGGAATAAAGCTTAATGTAAATGGTCGATGAAAGTTGTATTACACGCTCCTGAACAAAGGTGTGAACTTACGGGAATAAAAAAATGTAAATGGTCGATACAATTAAACATAACATATTTATTTAGTGCTATATCTAATAAGATTAGTGGAGATTGTACAATCGTATTTCTGGATATAAAGCCGTCGTGATTGTCAATCTTGAATGATGAATACCATCCCTAGAGGGAATGGAAACCCAATTATATCGTTTTTGGTGGATGAGTGGAGATTATTCTGCTCGAGATTTTGGCAGTGTGAGAAAACATAAATTGAACTATGTAGAGGGGGTGATTTGTTTTTTTGTCAGGTAGTCTAGTTCGTGAGCTTTAAATCGTTGGCGTTGTGATTGAGTCAAGTGACGCGGTTTCTATCCCAAAGGGGTTAGGTCACCTGCTCTACCACGGGGTTTTCTCCTGTTCTTCACGTTCCTCCCCAACTTCTAAAGACCCCTAGTCGCAAGTAAATTATTAAAAGTGTACCACTATGAAAAGCGCTACTTTCAAAATTGAATTGAGGGTGAATATTATTGGTATTGAGGGTGATGTGCGACACTGGTCATAAACAAGTGGAATTTCAAACAAAAACGAAACGAAAGGCATATATTATGAAATTGATCAACTGGCAATGGTCGAAGTAGCTTGAAATTGCGCGGTTCCCTGAATTGGGGCTGAATATTATTGGTATTGGGGGCGATTGGCGACACTTGTCATAAGCAAGTTGAATACAAAACAAAACGAAACGAAAGGCATATATTATGGAATTGATCAACTGTATTGTCGAAGTAGCTTGGCGTTAAACTTAAAAATAGTATGGATATAAACCATTGCGAAGCCGATGGAAATTGATAATCGAAGAAGCTTGCTATGTAAAAATCAACCATAGCAGGAAAATAAATCACCGCGACGTTGAAGAAACTTGGTAACATCACTGATCCGTGTTAGTTTATTTCAGACGGCCATTTAAAAATGCATTAAAACAGGAGTCCGCGGTTCTAGCTATGATAGTTAAAAACTAGATAATCAAAAGGGGATATCTTGAAAATTTCGGTCAAATTACGTCATTCTGAGCGACGTTAGGGCTGTTTGGGGAATAGCGAAGTCTCGATTGTTATTGCTACCGTTGTTACGATAGTAAACAAAGTATCGATAGTCCATTTTGAATTAAATCATTAACCGCAAATCGTGTTTAAATCCGTTGAAAATCTGGAGCATCCGATGGCATAAAGAGTTCATTTTAGTGTTGACAATTAACAAATGTCTAATCAATAATTTATATAACATTTTAAGACCCCAAGAATGACCTGCAAATGACAGATTTAGCTCTTGCTCAATGCATCTTTAACACGTAAACTGTACTCTAATGTTTTTGTCGTCGGAAACAATTGAATTAACAAGAAAAACTGTAATTAGTGTAACCCAATTTAAAGTTTAGTTCGGCGTGGTTCCCCCTGTCAGTGTTGCAGGACAGAAGGCCCGTGGAAAGGAGAGAGAGAGAGAGATGGGGTTTAACGTCCACTCGACACAAACTAGGTAATTTCGGGACTAACACATGGTTCAATTTTATTTCAATAATTCCCTTGCGCGTAGGGGTCTTTAGCAGTGGGAGGAAACCGGAGGACCCGGAAAAAACCCACGAGGGTGGATAGGCGGCCCAACTCTTTGTCACGTACAATAGGGAAATCGAAACCCCGCCAGTTGACTCAATGACAGACCTTATGATACAACGCGCACGTACTAACCATTCGGCCATCCACCCAACCCAAACCCCCACCCTCCTTGGAAAGAAACAGTGTCGAGTCGTTAAGATGGAACGAAAAACGAGGTCCAGTGTACACTTTGACATGCACGTTAAAAATTCTTAAAAGATGGAATTCGATATACGGGTATGGCGTAATGCCGTTGCCAGAGCAAAATGCCTCTTAGCGTCCGTCTTCATAATCCCGGTTGTTGCCGAAAGTTAGGCCGTTAATCCTTATTTCATTTCATTTTGACAACACCTATTTATATTTGTTTGCTATGTCTTTAGGGAAAATAATTTAAAAACAAAACTGGTTGATTGATTTTCTTAAATCTTGAAGTTCTCAAAGTTTAAATGTTGACATTTTAAACAACACATAGGCCAGTGTCTAAATTAAACTGACGTGGTCGAAAGATGAGAGAGAAGAGTGAGAAATGGGGTTTAACGTCCACTCGACACAAACTTGTTCATTTCGGGACCAACATATGGTTCAATCTTATTTCAATAATTCGCTTGCGCGTAGGGGTCTTTAGCAGTGGCAGGAAACCGTAGGACCCGGAGATAACCCACGTACAACACTGAGGTTATCGAAACCACTCAATGAAAGACATTACAATACAACGCGCATGCGCTCACCATTCGCCCTCCACCCCCCATAGTGGAAAGATACACAGTCTGTCTACGTTCCTTTGTCTTATAATCAATATCTGTTTCTAACAATTATGTTTTCGTGTTTTAATTAAATCTACATATTTACAAGTAAGCTATGTTTAATTAAATTCTCCACACCTTTTAAAGGTTAACATAATAAATTACTTTACTGTTTTTGTATACAGTATTGCCAAATTCAGTAATGGTTAATATTTCGTTATCCTATCTTTAAAAAATAAAATGAAATGGGGGCTTACCTCCTACTTTTCTGGAAGCTACGATGGCTAAGTGAGTAAGACGCTGGCTCTCTAGCCAGTAATTTTTTAAAACTATTTTATTCAAGATCAAATGCCTTACGGCATATAGATACAGAAGATGTACATTACATTGATGGCACAATTATACAGAGTCAATGAGAACAATAATAATTAAATAATCAGCTACCAGAACCGTAATTAAACTTTCTCTTAAACACAAAGCCTGTTTTAAAAATTTACTTATATTAGATTATTCAACGCCTTTACATCGGGATTTTCCACTTGTCAGTGGCGCATAACGGGGCGAATGACAAGGAGAGCTGTCTTGTCCTTTGAATGGTACGAAAAACCAATGTCCCATGTACACATTGGCGTGCAGCTAAAAAGTCCCTTCGCAGTTAGAATTAGATATAAGAGTAGCCCGTAGACGCGGCTGTACGGGACAAGTGTCCCTTATAGCAGACTGTATGGCGTACGCCCGTCATCATTAATCAGTCAGCAGAACAGTAGGACGTTAAACCCCCATTTCATGTCATTTCCTGCGTTTCTATTCTATACCAGCGGGACTCATAAATACGGATATACGCAACACAATATGCGACGAGGAAAGATTATTATTGGACAACTTTTCATACCTGGCTGTCCTCCAGTACTTGGTCAGGGACGGGGTGGGGCGCGTATCTAACATTTAATTTCTGTCCCAACCAATTTTAAAGTGCTCAGATTTAGACGTTTCATATATCCTATACTTGGATCCGCCAGTGCATCGGGAGTCTTTAATTTGCATCATACCGAGTGGAGATATTATAAATGTGTCGTAATCCGGTAACTGGAGATAATATAACAAAAAGATAAAAAAAAAAGTAGGTAATTCAACGCCGTCAATAAATATACCGGAAATTGAAAAGGTTCGATATTTTTTACTGACGTATTACACGGTAACATAATATTATAAAATATTAAACGCATCCTTAGCAAAATATCAGACAATACCAAAATCAATTTCGTTTTATATAAAATATAAATACAGTATTACTGAGCAAATAAAGCAACGTTGTTAATATTTTGTTCGTTTCTAAGAACCCTTTCTACGCCATATTGAAATAATATACAATGGGATTCTTCTCATTGTTGTCGTTGACTGTCATGTACAATAATGTGAATGATGAATCTCAAAAATAAAAAAAAATGAAATGAGGTTTGACAACGTCGTACTGTTCTGCTCCGATTGCAAAAAGTAAAAAAAATATCATTCCAGAAAATGATTTAATTTCGTTTAGTATTTACAAAATATATAATGAATTGAAAATTGGGCATCTTCATTCTTTGGGGTGAATGTTTCTAAATCCTGTAACCTGTAACTCAATATTTTCCATAAAATTTGAAATTAGTAATGGCCAATTCACAAACGATAACATTATAATAAAAAAACAAAAACGTGTAGAACGGACTAATCAGGCGTAAATGACTGCTGTTCACTTTGGACTATTCACGTATATTTCACCGAACGTAATTGATTAGAAATTACAATATGTTTTTCAAAAATTGAATATAAATCACATTACATACATTCATATTGCATTCATATGTGCTTTTATATCCATTTTCATCTATCTTAAGGTTCCAAAAATAGAGCCAAATCATTCATCTGGGTATTATTAATGTAATTAAGGTTTAGGTTTTGGCCTTTGAAAACAAAAAGAAAAGAAATTACTGCGGAAAAGTGAGATTGAAGTTATAAATAAAAGTTTTTGATAAAAAATATGACCCTGGAAAATAAAATGAAATATGATGCGCAATAAAAATGATTTGTGAACTAATTTGGCCTTTGAAAACAATACTTAAAAAGTTACACAAACAAAACTCCAACAAAAATGAAATCGTAAGCTATGAACAAATATTATTTTATTATTAAACATACCAGTGTTTTCGTTCTATTGGTGAATAAGCCGGATTAGTTCAAATTGAATAAAATGAAGTGTAAAGAAATGAAATGAGGTTTAACGTCCTACTGTTCTGCTCCGACTCGGCTAATGAAGACGGGATGAGTATT